CATTAGACTGTAAGAAGGTAAAATTTGACATGAAAATTAATTTAGGAATTTCCTTCCCCTTCCATTTAGTAAATACTATCTACATTCTTGGCTGCAGAAAGGACCAGAGCATTGAACTAATTACTGTGACAGTTAACAGTCATAGTCTGTTTATTTGCTAGACCCAATATAAGCTCATCCAAAATCAAATTACAATAAGTGTAAAATCCACTGTTATGCTGTGTAAGGTTGGTTAGTACTTTCCATTAATGAGCCCAACTTTCAAGGACAAAGACTATTGAAATTCTGGCTTGAATCCCAGTAAGTATGACTTTAAGACAAAGTAAAACATTTCTCATGTTGATTGTGAATTAATAGACATGGACAATATCTTGGAAGGCACCTACATGATTCTTATTTTGTGGTGCCATAATTTTGGAGGGGGGCAACCTAGTTTAGTAAGTAAGACCAGAGATTCTAGAGTTGGAATGCCTGGTTCAAATCTGAGCTCTAGCATTTGCTAGTCAAGTTACCTTGGACTGATTATACATCTTGAAGCCTCATTTTGTCTCACTGGATAATAATAGAACTGATAAAACTGGCTGTTGAGAGGATTAAATAATATAATGCATATAAGCAGATAACTTTGTGACTGTCCTATATTAAGAATTTTATGGATGGTAGCTATAATGATTTGGCTGAAGATTGGATTTTAGTGGGTAATTTTGACAGGAAACCCATTCTCAACTGGCTTAAGAAAAAAGAGAACTCTGGAAGATAGTGCTAGCTCCTGTAACAGAAAGTCAATCCTCAAATGATGTCATAAGGACTTATTCTTCTCCATTTCTTGGTCCAGTGTTTCACTATGTTGGTTTCATACACTGGCTTTATTCCAGGAAATACCCACCTCTCCCTTTGAGGTGACCAAATGGCTGAGACTGCTCCTTACATCCGCATAGGTTCTGTGTCATTAGAAAAAACAAACATTTTTTCGGGTAGCTACTGGCAAAGTCAGGAAATGCACCTTGATGGGGTCCATTTAGGTTATGGACCAGTCATTGCAGTCAGAGGAAGATAATGGGCTGATTTGCTTAGGTCTTCTTAAATCCCCTATTGGATGTGCTGGAAATGGGGGTAAAGTCCTGTCTAGACTGCACTAAATGTGGGAAGGGGTGGTCACCCAAATGGAAATACAGGGCTATTTCTGGAGGAAACGAGGGGACTCAAGGAACAGCTATAAAAGTATCATCAATGGAAGGTTTTTTTGTTTTTCTTTCTATTATTCATTTACAATGTGAATGAATTAGAAATGAAAAGAGAAATTGCTTATATGCAAGGGCATCAGATTATATGCTTGGGGTTTTTTCCTTTTTTACTTCCTCTCTCTCTTCCTTTGTTGCTGTGGTTTCTACATGTCTCCAGTGATTGAAATTGAGGTGCAACTCTAGGGAATTGCCTGAATATTCTCTATCTTAGATGTTTTACTTTGTGTCCATTCGATACTACTTAGAGAATTCTCGTTAACAGCAACCGCCAGGAGACTGCCACCAGCCAAACGAAATCCACCTCTGGGGGTTCTTCCATCACACAGTGGTCTGCTCAGGAGTCTGCATAGATGATGCCCTCCTCTTTGTGGTGAACTCTGTGAGGGCTTCTCCCTGTTGGTTAACACCAGCCTGCTTTCTATCTGCCATTCTGCAGAATTGAAGCTTATTTTATGAAAATTATCATTTAGCAACTATGTGTGCTGATATGGCATAACAGAACTTCATCACAGGCTTGGAAAAGAGGCTGCATGAGATATATTCCAACTCACTGGGAAGGTTCAGCCAGGATTCCTATGTCTCATCTTCTTTAGTTTTTCAAAAGAAGCTTTATAAGATATGGAAAGAATCAAGAAATGGGCCCAGGGGCGTATATGGCTCATCATCATTTTGATATTTGAATCAAAGCAATCATACTAGCAAACTGGCTTTTAATAGGTTCAAAATTAACATCATTTATTCATCAAATTTACATCTCTTGTGCACATAGATAAATATTTTCCTGTTATGCTGCTTGAAGGGCAAATCTCAGGGTATTTAAACTCTTAGAGAGTTTATTATACAAAGCTTTTTTGTATGTGAGTAATTTAGAATTAAATATTAATAAACTAAATTCTCTCATTCTATTGTTTTGAAAAGAAAGAACAATAATTCTGGCTCTTTCTGATTGTGAAAATTCATTTTTTTAGACCTCAGTTTTCTCATTTCTCAAGATGGACAGACTTGTTGAACAAAAGCCTTTTCCATTGGATCTGTGCAGAGTTATGATCTCACAGGCTTTGTGAGATCTAGAGGACAATTCAGGTCACAGAGCGAGGGAAGGGTCTGGGAGCATGCAGGCCATGTATTTGAGCTCTCAGGTATGGTGTAGGGTGCTCATTTCCTCTCTATATTTACTACTTCATAGTTCAATTATATTACAATTGCTTGGGCAACAGAAGAGTGTTTTCACAGTGTGACACCACAAAGAGAGATCTCAGTTTACAGTAATTTACCTTAGTAGGTACTGTAGTGCCCCTGGTCCCATCCAACTACAGGTCCTTCTATATCACCATGCCTCTTCCCCTCTAACACACACACCACTGGATATATTGTTCCTCATTCTCTCATAAGAAGACATATGAAACAGGTACAGTCCTCATGGCCCCTGATTAAGATATTTTGGGACCTAGACTAGTATCATTCCTACTGGATAACCAATGGGTGATGTGCTGGCCACTACAGAAGGGAGATTCTTATTGGTCAAGCAGAAAGGAACACATGCAGATTTCAGCTGTAGATCATTATATTCTGTCCCTTGAGTAGAAATATGGATGCTGGCTCTAAGTATGAAGTGGGCAGGGATATAGCTGGGCACAGACACAGGTAGATCAAGGACTCAAGCATCTTCAGAGCTTTCTTGCCTTTTCTGTTAACCTCATTCTCAGCAGAGTCCGGATTTCTCCAGAGTGCAGACATGGCTGCTAATAGAGCCCAAGTGTACATCTCACATCCTCCCACACTGGGGAGGGACCAAATCCTCATCAGTATCCATTTGAAAAATCCTTAGGAGAAAGCTGTGACTGGCTCGCTTCAAGCCTGGACCAATTCGCTGTGGCCTGGGGTGGGCTGGGCAGGAAAATGACTCATTCTGGGGTGGTCCTGTCCTTGGGTGAGGTGGGAAGTTGCTGTGATGAAGGGAGAAGGGACACAGGTGGTCCCACAGGTGTCAACGCAAATACTCCAGACTAGAGTGGGGAGTAGTTACAGATACTGTAACTGATGCAATCAAATTTTAAAATTTGGTGACTATTCCTTTCTGCATCAATTTAAAAAATATTTCAAAAAATAAGGAGCTGCCTACTCTCTAAGTATGTTCACACTTCAGTATTAAGTTGGTCTCACTGAAAAAGCAAGATTAATCATAGAAATTATCAATATCTATTTCACAAAATAGGATGAGGAAAAAAATCAGAATATAATTTGGTGAAATAAAAATGAAAATGAGGCTTGGAGTGTTATTGACACCTGTTAATAAACATGAGAATGAGGGTATCTAAATACAAAATCTTACTAACTATAACTTACCAAATGTTTAAGCAAGTTTGAAGTGCTCGTAAATCACTTACATTAAGATGATTACTGAATATAAAAATGAACGGACTCTGAGGAGTTTTAGATAGGATGTTTACACTGTAATTTGGAATGAACTCGAATTTATTTTTTACAGGTGATTCTTTGTGAAAATAGTAAAAGACTTTTGGAGCTAGTGGCTGGTATTATATTAGTGAAATTACAAACAACATAAAAGGAAAATGAGGCATACTGTGAGGCATATGTAACCATGTTTACTCACCAAATAACTATCCTGGAAATGTGAGTGTAATAGGCTGCTTTGTGGAGATTTTGCCCAGCCTAACAGGGCCTTTCTGATGGCCCCCCTCACCCACATCCCCTTTAAGCTGTTTGGTACATCACCCCAATCCTTTGGCCACTGTTTATTGAGTCAGATGAGCAGTCATGCCTATTGTGTAGACTGCAGAGCAGTGAAGGCCCCTACACAGAAGAAATGAGGGGCAGAATGCCCTGGCACTTCCTTTAGGGTGGGCGCAGGTCTGCTGTTGGTGTGGCACGTGATCCTTATGGTAAATTTTACTTTTCTGCTCAAATCTAGTAAGTATTCCATGCTGCTGAGGCTGTGAGATATAGTTATACATAGTTGGCAGTTTTGTAAATTGTTGTAGGTTTTCTGGAAAATATTTGGCAATACATATTTAGGATATTAAAAATGTTAATACCTGTCTACTCAGTTGTACCACTTCTAGAAGTGTATCATGAGGAATTTATCAAATTTATGTTCTTGACTCACGTGTGTAACTTACAATCCTAAAAAAACCAGAAAAAAGCTAACCATTACAAGTTGGGGACTAGCTAACTATATCAGGATGGATCCTATTTTGCAGTATTATGCAATTATTAAAATGTTTTAGAAAAGTATTTGATGTTGTAGCAAACTAGTATGCTGTAACAGTAAGTGGAAGATGTGTACACAGAGTACTATTCACATTTTGACATGTACGTTTATAATGAATAGAAAAAAAGTAGAAGAAAATACACCCAAATGTCAAAAGTGGTAATTTTGAGAGCTGAATACGACTTATTTTTAATTCTTTCCTATATCTTCTAAATGTCCTACAAATGAACTTGTATGTAAGAAAAATCCTACTATTAAAAAATTATGTTAAAATTAGGTATTATTTGGAATTAAAAGGAATGAGTTTTCTTCTTTAATGCATGGAAAACTTAGGAAAATTAAAAATATGTATTTATTCCATGTTGTGCAGTGGAATAAAATGTATACTATATCTTTTCAAGAGCAGGATATAAAATCTATAACCAACAGTATCAGTTGTACCAAAATTTAAATGGAAATATATCCATACTTATTCACAGTCATCTTGTTTAAAAATAAATCATCTATTTTAAGTAATGAAGTTTAAATACATTACAATAAAGTTATTTTATTTTAATGTAAATGTAACTTTGCCAGATTTTAATCTAGTAACAATTTAGAGAGATACATATACATATATAGGTAGAATATATACTTTTTAAAACAATAACACATATTTTATGATATATAATCGTTTTACCACAAAATATATATACTTCTCAGATATGAAATGAGAGTAATATGAGCAGGAAGACACCACTAGCTGGGACGAGAGTAATGCCTTCACAAGTTAACTTTTATATATGACTTCAGTAACATCGTTATACAAATAAGCCACTTAGTCGGCGTGTTTTGGCAGTGTGAATCTGTAAGACACTGGTTGAATTTCACAAAACTTCCTGAAACTTGACAACTACTGCTTAGCAAGTCTTTGTACAACAGAATGTGTAGCAGCAGGTACAAGTGGGCCATAGTTGCTAATAGCTAAACAGGCACAAAAGCTTTATCGCCTTTTGGAAACTGGACAGAGCAATTAAGAGCTCTGATCTCCTGTTGTTCCTCTCAAGATTTAACATATTCTAAATAATCTTATGTGGAACTCAAAAATAACAGAACAAGATCAGACTAGGGAGATGGCATTTCTGCCAGTAAAATTTTTCAAATCGACACATTCATCCAGTTTCTGACATCGTTCTTTGAGCAGCCATCATCTATCTACTGCAAAATGTGGCTTGGCTTTGTTTTGTCACAAAGGGAAAGAAAAGCTTTTGTTCAGAGCTTTAGAAAAGTTGGTCAGTCTGCATAATCCATTTTCTTCTTAAACTCCGGGAAGTAGCTCATGCTCATTTGCAGTGAAGTGCTGCAGAGGAGTATTTCTCTTATCCCTTCCTTCAAATGAATACCTCACAGACTGGTTCGGCACGTCACTCAACCTCGGTGCATAAGGTGGGCTTCTTGGTGGAGGAACTTCCATTATCTGAGGGGCGGTAGGAAAGTGTGCTCATTTTTGTTGATAGGCTTGAGTGGGATTTGGCCTTTGGAGGAATATATTTCAGAAGCTGGAGAAAATATTTTTTAAATTTTTTCCCCAGAAAGCCATAAAAGAGTGGATTCAGGCAATTGTTGAAATAAGCTATGCAAATAGTGATGGGCATGGCGGTGTCAACAATATCTGAGATTTTACAGTCATGTATAATGCCCAGCTGAATCAATACATCCAGAAAAGTGAATATTTGGTGGGGAACCCAGGAAAAGAAAAAGAAAAGCACAATTGCCATAATTATCTTGAAAATATCATCATTTCTTGGCTTGTTCTTCTGAATTTCATAAGCCTTCTTTAATGTCTTCCATATAAGAGTATAACTTGTAAGAATGATCAGAAAAGGAAACAAGAAACCCAGTATATTCTTGGTTAGGCCCAGCCCTATGGGGAGGGTTGAATTTTGGGATTCGTAATGGAAAGCACAAACTGTGATATTGGTGTTCTCAATGAAAAACACATTTCGGTGGATTATAGTTGGCAAACTAGCCAAGCCAGCCAGCAGCCAAATAAAGATGCAGGTGATTTTGGCCACAAGCATTGTACGCCGAAGGCGGGACTTCATTGGGTGAACAATAGCCAGGTAGCGATCAATGCTTAGACAAGTGAGTAGAAACACACTGGCATAGAGGTTGAAACTGACGCTGCCTGAAGCAATCTTACAGAGGTAATTGCCAAAGGGCCAGCGGTATTCCATAGCGGTGTAGACAGCCCATAGTGGCAAAGTCAGTAAAAAGCATAAGTCAGCCAGTGCTAAATTCAAAAGAAAAACACTGGCCACACTCTTCAGTTTCATGTAAAAGTAAATGACAATCACCACTAAACTGTTTCCAAATATTCCCACCACAAAGATGATACTGTATAAAGTAGGGATCATGACAAATATGTAATTGTGCCTTCCAGCTTTGGGACAGTCATCTTGGATTCTTTTAATACCATCTTCAGTGGTAGAGTTGAGGATCATTTTGATCTCCTGAGTTAATTAGTCTCAGACACAATACCAAATGCACCTGGAAAAAATAAAAACGAAAAGGTAAACAAAAAAACAAAAACGCTAACTTAGAGTTTTAACAAATAGTTGTATTTCTCAATCATAAATACAGTAACTCAACTTTAGCCTTAGGAAAAATAATTAGATTACATTTTCTGAAGAAAAAATATGAACTGATAAAGTCTAAGACTGCACATTTAAATTAATTTTTAGAACATACTGCTTTTCTACAAAGTGATAAATAGCCTCCAGTCAAATGGGAGTGGGGTCCTATGTGCATATACTTATGTAGGTCCTTTGCATTTTTTCTAGAAGTAAATCCTAGCTTTCAAATTAATTAAAAAACATAACATAATCTAAATTTTAGAAAACACTACTGAATTAAATTAGTTATTCAGAAAGACTTGAGTTCTTCCTGAGGTAAGCAAGGCTGATAATTTGTCTTCAACCTTAGAAGTCTGACACATCCATATTTTGTTCTTCAAACCATTTCTTCCATTTCACAATCCTTACTTAGATACAGAAACTATTAGCATCTGCCTTAAATGGGTAGAATAGCTTGCTCTAGGTTAATGAGGAACTGGTCATTGTAGGAACTGATTTAAGAGGAAATAACAGGGAGAGTGCAAGACTCTGGGGAGTAACATTGTTTCCATGGGTTTCCAAGCCACTATAGGAAATAAAGTAACCACTTTATTCTTTAACTTCCAATGCAGTCTAGCAAAAGAGCCTAAATCTCCTAACTTTTGTGCCTGCCAGCCACTTCTGGAGTTAACTCAGAGATGAACCATTTGTATAATGAGAATGTCAAATGAATAGATTAAGTTGGGATCATCAGTAAAACATGTCCTTGTGGGAGCTTGAGACAGCAGCGGTTCTTCAGGGCGTTAGGAAAAAGCAGACGCTCAGGAATGAGTTCCCCAAAGACTTGCACAAATATTTGCTCTAATGTTTTACATGATCAACAATCAAGCTATTCAGTTATGTGATTTAGAAAATCAGCATATTCTGCCCTAGATAAGAGTCCACCAGAAAACCCTTGGTAGGGAGGCTGAAGATGCTGTGAGGGTAAAATCACAGGATGTGATATAGACACGCCCTGAGGTGAAGGTCAGCGCTGGGCCCAGCAAGACTAGCTAGGCAGGGCAATGATTCTGGGTAAAGAGGCTATTGCTGCATCAGAGCAGGTCCCTAGGTGAGATGGCCTTGTAGTGAACTGTCCAGGGCAAGAACAGGAATGGGAATAAGACACTGCTAGTCTGCCTAGGATAGCTGTGTGTGGCATGTGCCTAAGGTAGTCTCCCTCTTGGTGCAAAATGGTGCTGTGAAAGTCATGAGACTCAAACAGCAAGTTTTAAGAGATTACACTGAAGGCATTCTTCAGTGACCTCTTTGTCTCTGCTAAGGAGGCAGATATGTGCCTATCTAAGGTTTGGCTCCATGTCCTCATTTCATGCACTGTACTCAGCCTTACATAATCTAAATCCCTTTGTTCCCTTTCATTCCCAGGGGCATTGGTATCCACAAAGAAGTAGGTGTCACATCCTCTGTGGAACTTTCCTGACTTATCTAGGTAAGTGACTGTTCCATTTTCTGAGCTGTTCTGGTACTTTGGATGCAGGGTTTGGCATTATATTGTAACAGTGTTGACATATCTGTCTTCTCCTCTGCCCTCTCAGCTGCTTGAAGATAGGGCCCGTTTTGAATCATCTTGTTTACTAGTGTAGGCCCTGACATGTTCCAGAAGGCAGATGATAAGTGTCTGATCAATAAGAGAGTGAATGGACAAATGCATGAGCATATAACTTATAAGCTATGGGTGTAGAGTACGGAGATGAATTTCTTGGGGGTTAATGACATCAATTTATATTCTGCTAACCAAGAATCTCACAGAAAATATTCAAATGTCAAGCTGGGCTTTACTTTGAATAAGAAACCAAAACTAAAACTAAACCAAACCAAAACAGACAAAAAAACAAAACAAAACAGACTTTGGCACTTTCAGAATTCTGTGGTTTACAAAAGCAGAAGATGAAAAGAAGGAATAATTTAGTAGTAACTAGGGCTAATCTCTCAGGAAGGTACGACCTTCCTCACCCAGAAGGAATTCCCTTTGCTCACTTTTTCAGCTCATTTTATTGTAGTTACTGAAATTAGACCAATTTAGAAGTATAAATTTATTTAGGCAAACGAATATATTCTCTGTTAAAAAGTAAGTGTTTCAACAAAGGTTTATGGCTAGCAGTCATTTACACCTTAATGTGGATTAATTTACTTAGTTGCTTTTCTTCTAACATCTTGTTGAAATTATTTGGATTTTACCTAAGGAAACATTGGAAATATCAAGGTTAAAGAATCTCACAGATTAAAAGCTGCCTGGGTGAGCTCCATAAGTGAAAACGAGGGCAGAGGTAAATATTTGTTTCGGCTTGAGCACAAGGGCACTGAAAGATAGGAAGGAATTAACTTGATGCATTAGGATCCTTTGGGTGCCCTGAGCTTAAGTGTCTGAAGGCAGGAAGGAAATTCTCTTTCTTCTTCTCTCACTAATGTCTATGGGATTTTCCCATCAACTCGGGGAAACTGCTCTTCTATACTGACCCAACTTTGAGGGTACACAACTCATTGGTTGCATTAATCTTGTGTCTAGAGTGACTAGATTTTTATTGACTAGACTAGAACTGTATCATTCATAAAAGAATTTCTATGGGAAAAGGTTTGCATTTGAAAGGGTCAACTTCTAAGCATAGTTTTGGACTCCAGTCCTTCACGATCTGAGGTCAGCCTCTTCTTCAGTTCCTATCAATCCATATTGATTAATATTTAATATGTAGAACCTACTTCTGAACAACTAGGGGAACATCCCTGGAAATTCTAGCAAGGTATTTATTATTTTTAATGAGCATAGCACTTGAGAAACTCTGGATACAACACTGAATATACAAATTAGAAGGATATTTTAGATAAATGCTTATATATAAATAATGACCAAGCCTTCCTACCTAATAAGGAAACAAATTTGATGGTGGGAGGAAAAAGGGAGAGGAATTTTAGGTGGTTGGAAATGGGAGGAGCAAGTGCAGGGAAGCAGAAATGCAGGTAGTGTATTTAGTGGGTAGTCATTCATCCCACATTCACTAAACACCTATTGTGTGCTGAGGTCAGAGATGTAAAGTGAATAAAATCGCAGTCCTCCTCCTTTGAGGCATTCAAATCTAGCTGGGGGGACAGAGCCTTAAAGACACAATTATCTCACCATAGCAGAGGCAAGTGGTTTGTTCTGTGCTCATCACTGACCCAGCGTGGTGGTAGGGGTGAGAGGGTGTGATCAAGGATGCTTCCCAGAGAAGATGGCATGTGGACTTTGCAGCATGTCCTAGAGTAGCTAGAACTTAAAGGCCAGCCGAGATGGAGTAGAGATTGTGTTATCACTTGAACTCTTCCATCCTTGCAAATGCCTGCAGCGTCATCTCTGGGAAGCTGCTCTAGTCCATTTACAGATATTGCACAACCCTCTGGGCAGGGCATGGGGTCTGAATGTGCACTGGCTGGGAGGGTGACGCAGACTGTACTGGGATATGAGAAATATCGTGCTCTGGTCTGCACCCCTCCACTGATAGGCTTCCTTGGAGAAACTTGGTTCTTATGAAAGAGTGAAAATGGAATGCTCGTGATTGGCAACCTACTTAGATTGATCATAATGAGTAGGAAGGAGTGGGGTTCTTTTTTCTTGGATGCTGAAAGGATGTGATTTTGGTGAGGAATGAAAGGAGAGAGGGGTGTGATCTACAGGAGCACCAAATTTGTGAGCCCCAGAAAGGAGTCACATTTTAGTTTCACCCTGCTTTTTCTCCCAGTAGGATTATAGGCAGGTAAAAGACTGATGAAAGAACAGGACGGTCCATCTCTCCCTGTTTCTGGGACTCACCGTATCTTACAGGCTCTGTGGCTTACATGAATTCCATAGCACCATTTCTTCTTGGGGGAAAGATGATGGGATTTAGAGCCAAAATAATTGTAGCGGAGTCTTCTTTGGTCACTTACAAATCTGTGACTCTGGCTGGAGAGTCTCTGAACATAAGCCTCAGTTTCCTCACCCACAAGAATAGGAGCAGTCATTCTTATTGCACATGAGTATTGTAGGAATTAAATGAGAAAATGTGAAAGCACGGGGTATAGCTTGCAAATAGTGAGTGTTCAATAAGTGGATTTTATTTGAATCTTTACTAACATTTTTGAATGAAGGGCAAGTGCTGACTCAGTCATGGGTCAAAAAAAGCATGAGAGATTAAAAAAGAGATTTATCATTGGTTAGCCCCTTCTCTTGTCATTAAAAGGCTAAAAATACCAAGCTGTTGTTCTTTCAAAGTATGTGTAAGAAATAATCTTAAGCAGCTGAATAAATTTGCCATGAGTCAGGTGGGAACTTTCAGTCTGCTGCAAACACAAGTTTGGCTCACGGTGGCCACGTCACATTCATCCAGTGCTGGCTCTTTTAGCAGTTACCATGAAGTCCTTACAGGTTCCTGGTTCTTAAAAGCAAGCCTAAGAAAGAAGATATTTCTTTCCCTCTTTTTTTTTAATTATAAGAATATTTCCCCAAGACTTTTGATTAGAATATTAATACCTTCTTAAGCTTCTAGGCAAGCCAAAACCAATCTAATTAAGTTGTTCATTATAAGCTCCTTTTTTAATGAGTTTGCAATCTAAAGAAAAAAAAAATACCCCATAGTTTCCTATGATAATAGAGAGTACTAAAAGACTAAGTAATTATATTTTAGAATAATCTTCTATCGACGTATCTTTTTTAAATATCAGCAAGAGTAGGCTAGTGTTTGTTAAGTCATTTCCTTAATTGACCATCCTGTTCAAAAGTCATTCTCTTACTTGCTCCTATTTTATTATTCAGGCTTTAGAAAACAACTCTTTCTGCTTCTCTGTGTTTTTTTCACCCAGGAAACAGCCATTAGTCAATATCCATTTGTGAAGTCATTGAATCATAGAAGTTGGCACTAAACC